AAACTGCGACAGGCCGGTTTAAGAATCGGGTTGCAGAGGTACGTTCCTTGGTTCCTGGTGGATCATGCTGGACCCAAGTTTCCAAATGTTGGTTAACGCTGCATAACGTCGAGGCTAACCCACCTCGCTTCGGACTCGATTCCTTCTCGACCAAATTAGGGTTCGCACTGTGTGATCCAAGCCTTCAACTTCAAGTTTCTATTACTAAAAGCATGAGTCTGACATCGACATTGACAATGTGCAGAGCTGCATGAGCACCAGATTCGCTCATGCAAGCAGGTTTATAAGAACGGGTGCAATCAGGGACGCTATGGCACTCCTTTCTGGGTTTGATGGGCTATGCCCTCGTCACAAGGAGATGGCTTTTTGTCTATACGGACAGCTGGCAGGGCTGGCCGTCTGCCTTTTGCTTCTCTCAATGGTTACCAGGTCTGGTGAGTCACTTTCTCGCCCAGTCTCGACACCAGTAGGATGGGCGTTTGAATGAGGCAATATGCCTTTCTTCAAGCAAGTGTTCATCGAATGAATGTTGGCTGAGCGCTGCTGCACATGTGTTGCATAAATCCAGTCATCACAGGAACTCAAAAATGGTTGGAAGTGTTCAAATTGCTTTCTTAGATTGCTTGCCATGCTTATAACAACGTTTCGCGGGGTGGTAGTGTGACATTGTTTCTAGGCAAGGCGTCGTCTAGCTCACGGTATATGCTCAGTACAGTGTCGCTCGTGGAGACCAATACTGTGCCCCAACCAAGCTGAGTATCCATGGTTCTGCTATGGTTGTGCAGAAGCGCAACCGGACCGGGACGTTTATCTCCGCAATATGACAATCTTCCAAACGCACGAGTGGTTCGGCGCACCCCGCGTCTACTTCCACTGCACCGATAATGAAACAAAGGTCTATCTACCTGACGTCACGTCGCCGGGGCAGCAGTACACTTTCAGTAGCTATGAGTCCTGGCAACCGCTCACCACGCTGCCGGCTCTGAAGTGCAAAAGGTGCGGCTTTTATGAGGCTGACACAATCAAGAGCGATGACGTCTTTGGCGAGTGGGAGCTGTGCCCCCTGGACTTTTCAGCGAACGGATCTTTGAGCAAGTTAGTGGAGGGGGAGTTTGTGGCCAGCTTCTACTGCAAAGACTGTGCAGCGCCGTCGGAGCCAGAGACTCCAGCCGGCGGGTCCCCTTCAGGCGTGGGCGTACAAGGGAGTCCTCCAAACTCAGGTGAGCAGGACAAGGGGGCATGCACCACCCCAGCGTCGGGTTCAGATTCTTCACTTCGCGCTCTTATTTCTATCTTCAAAACACACAAATAGGCGCGTCGTATCAGCTGGTAGGAAAAGGGTGCAGGTTTGAAGGAAATGGTGGAAACGACATTGATTGTGGATTGGGCAGGGGAAAGGGATCCCCCTGACATCCAGAATTTGAAAAACTGCTTATGCCCCTGCAATCCGTCGTTAACTTCAGGCAAAGATGCCCTGTCATCACTTCTCTCACTGGTTTGTCTGAATTCCTCATTGGTGTAGTTGTGCAAAGATGTCAATTGATAAATTTCTGGTCCGCACAAGCTTTGCGCCAGCCTCCAGACTTCCCCTCCCTTCATTCACCCCACCTCACGCATTTGCAAAATTACCGTCCTGGTGTGCAGAGGGGTCTCATCAGTTTTTAGAGATTAGTTCAACGGGCGTGCTTGTATAGGCACACACTTTTTACCGCCTGCGTCTGAGCATTTCGAAACTTCAATAACCATCGCGTTTGGAACAGTGTTCAAGAGTTCGAATTAGCAGCCGTGTACTCCTTGGTCGATGATGCTGGAGTGCGTGTCACCCAGATCTGATCGAACTGACATGGCCTACCGTACCTTTGCTGCAGGAACAGCAGCCCCCTTCGAGAGCTCTACAGGAATGGCAACATCAGCAGAGCCTCCCGTGGCCCCATCTCGTACAGAGGGAAGGTCGAAAGGTCTGGGCGCCGGGCTGATTGTGCTTATTGTTTTTCTGAGCTTGCTGGGGGCGGTTGGAGCTGGGGTGGGGCTGATTTCCTTTCACAAGTTTCTGCGGAGGAAACGAAGAAACGATCATGCCCGCGCTTTCGATCTGCTGTTCGACAGTGGGGATGAGCTGGAAGAGGAAATGGAAAGAGGACGACTATGAGATGGAAAGAGGACGACTATGAGAGACTGCATGGAATTTGAAATGAGCCAACCAATTTTGCAATGAGTGACCATGCGCCTTTACCTGCGGTTGTAGCGAGAGTTGACAACCTGGGGCTTTGAGACTCACGAGTCCCGTAGCCCCTCCTCTTCTTGACAGAGGGCTCAACGGGGAGATGTCAGTGTTGCATGCACTCGAGCAACTCGGTTTTCTTTTATGCTAGTGAGCGAAGTGCAAAGTTTGGTGGAGTCCTCGCAAATCTGGTGAGCTCTCCGAAGGTTTTCACTACCTTGTCAACTTCGTGACTAGGTACATGTTTGCGATCTTAGCTATACAAGTGGGATGCACCTAGACGTCTTACGTCACTACAGGCCGCGACGCTGCGGCGCCCTTCCATTTTGGTGGAACGAGTGATGCCAATGTTCAACGGCGATCACATGGCATGAGTGCACTCCGATGGCTTCTAGGTTTTGCACTGATGGATATATCTCGATTGCATCAACAAAATATATGGAATGCCTCGAATGCAAATCAATCCGGTCATGGTTGTGTAGCTCGACGTGTAGGCCGGTACGTACACATGTTGCATATCGGTTGCACTGCCATATATATACGCAACCAATGCACACCGGTGCATGCAGCCATGCGCGACCATCAGCTTGGTCAATTAACCTATATAGTTGTATCTATGTATTGCCCAACTTGGCATGCACACAATCTCTGCGAATGCAGTCATAGAATTCTAGCAACGTACTATATTATTGGGATTCATTACGCTAACAAACATTGTGTACAAACAAGCGCAAATTCAGCTGCAAGGCTTTGCATCTTGCGTGCCTAAGCTTGAATTGATGCCTGTAATTTAGAGCATGTCGGGTATCTTGCAGATCTTGCTCTCGTGAAACTTGAGGCCTGGATCGTCCTGTCAAGTTATCTTGCGACCCATCATCCATTGTAACTGTAACTGGGCCAATGACGATTATCTAAGATCAAGCTCCAACTTACGTTCAAGCACTCCACAATGATTTGCAACTAGTTCCGCTTGCGTGATGCAGCACAACTATCACACAGCCATCATGATACCAACAGCAATCCAAAATGCGAGGATACTGAGAACAACATACAAAAAGTTGCACGTACGAAAATCACTCTTAACACTAACACCGCTGCCCCGCTTGGTTCAATCGCCAAGGGTGGTCATAAGAGGGTAATGTTGCGAGATTACTGCTGTCTATGCGCATGCAGAACTTTTGCAGAATCGAGCATCATTACAAGTGGTCAGACTCTGAGGGTGCCTGCCAGGAAGATGAATGCTTTGCCTATGATTGAACCCAAATGATCGGACATACTTGAAACTATTGTTAGATGGACTCTTACAAGGGTCCGACCATGTGCACAACTCTAGAAGCATTAACGAGCTTGTCAAAGTACACCGGCAACGTGATCTCTTGCATACTTTCCTGAAGTCGGGATCTGCATTGAGCAATGCTTACTTTGTCACCGTCAAGATAATTGGTAGCTGCAGGCACAGACGCTGAGTCACACCTTGCTGTCGGATTCAGGTCCACAACTCGGATCAGGACGCGAGATACGGACATGCCCACAAGGAACCCAAGAACACAAAACTCTTGCTGGACACGCACCTTTCTCTCCGACTGGAGCTCTGGTTGCAAGCTGCCCCATTGGTGTCAAGCTCAACTCCAACAGATTGGTCGGCATAGCGGCCAAGCGAGTCAACCTCATATGGCATGGGGCGCCTGAACGATATAAGACATAGGATGTGGACAGCTGCGCAACTCTAAGAATGTAGCAGAAGCTTGTGCCTACTTTCTTGCTACTGATGCGGGAAGCGGTGGTGGTGCGGGATGTGTCAACTCTGGCGCTGCTGCGTCCACATCCTGAGCGGGCCACCTAAAGTCCCCTGAGCGGGACAGCCGGACAGCGAAAGTGATCACTGGAATCACCAAGCACACTCCCATCATCATCCGCATGCCTTCTGGGGTCCACCGAATAACCGCCATTCGGAAAGCTTTCTTGTAATCCCAGCATGCAAGTATTGTTCCAGCCCTCACGCTATGAATCCGATCTAAACAAACGAACGCTGAGCGCAGTACACCCCAAGGAACCCGTCTCGCCTACGCTCAGCTTCAATGGCCAACTACAATTTGCGTGGACAAAGTTGGCGGCTCACGACACCTTGCAATCTGCCATAGGAATACGTCTGCATGGGGGCGCTACATTCAGAATCCTCAGCTGTCGAGTCTTGCCAGGACTCCTGAAGTTCGTTAAAGTTCGAACTGTGAAGTTGAATCAAGGGAATTGTGCTTCTTTTTGCAGAGTTGCAAACCCTAAAACGCTATTAAACCTGATTAAACCCACAGAATCTGGAATTCGGCGCGCTCGGATTCTGGAATCTCTGCCGCTGCAATCTACCATTAATGGCGCAAGGGCGGCCTGAGTCAGAAGGTGGAGCCATGGCCATGGCCACCTTGGCGAAAGCAGCTTCGTCTTCCACAACTCGAGACCCTTCTTGCTCATTCCTGAGGACCATGTCTGCCCAATTCTCGAGTGATCAACAGCACATAGTTTGTTTGGATACAATCTCGCTCAACTCATGCTTCACATTAGTTATGGCGGGTCTCATTTAGCATACTATCTAAGTGCCGAACGGGTGAGCGTTAAAGCGCCACCACCACTCAAAAGATACTTCTTTGGAATAGGGAGGATGGGCCGCAGCAAGCAACCAGAGGATCATGTGGAGAGTGAGTGACTTGCATCGATTGCTGGTCTTCGCTTTGTCTTTACTGAAATTGCAAAAATGCTCCCTCTCTCGCTATGGATATTCTGACGTTAGTGCGATCCTTTAGTGGTGCACGTTGTGTTTCACTTAGGGCAGATTAACGCGGTACATTGAGTCAAATGCCTGTCACCTGCAAGGACCTCTTTCCGCGTACCTCCTTCCTGTCACAACTTACATTCGTTGGCTGCAGGTGAAGACGAGGACGGGGAAGATCTAGGGCCATGGACCCGCGTGGAGTCTCTCAAGCCAGCTGGCGACATCTGGGTGGATCCTGAGGCTCCAACCGCCCAGCCGTCGTGGGAGGTTCCTCATGGGGAGACAGGGGAGAGTGCAGAAGACAAGGACGCCAGCAGCACAGAGCTGTATGCAGCGGGGGAAGTATGGGAGGAGCTCATTGTGTACAAAAAGTCGATCATCAAGCCGTCCGACATCAATCAGGTGAGAGGGGTGCAGCGAGGGGGCGACAATTCTGTGGATTTAGTGGTAATCTGCGCTGAAGCAGCAGAATGACAGTGACTCTGATTCCACCTCTCCGTGGCCACCTCAGACTCATAAAGTTGAACAGATGTCCTAGATAGACTGGAAAGGGAGGTGCAGATTCATTTGCCGCTTGCTAAGAAGCAACCACCACCACAGCGATCAACTAAGCTTGGGCTAGCAGGCAGCTCCGGAGAAGCCAGAGGAACTGATGTTTCTTTGTGCCCGCAGGGAGGGCTGGGCGACTGCTGGTTCCTCTCCGCCATAGCTGCACTCTCAGAGGAACCGAAGCGAGTCCGGTCCTTGTTTTTGAACAACATGGCACATGATGATGGGGGCCTCCGCATCAAGTTCTACAAAAGTGGCAGGTAATTCGCCGATAGTTCCTGCCCTGTCCAAATCTGCAAAACGCCATAGGACAGGGGCTCTCATTTCGACAAAGAATCATAAACGGTGTCGCTGAAGGACTTTGGCGTTGCAACGACCCACAGAGGTTCAAGTTCTTTGCAGCGCCAGATTGCCCAGTGGCAAATTCCGTATGCTGGTCAGAGCGCGAGGCTGGACTGTATTTGTCTGCAACCATAGCAGTGTTTGTGCAACGCACTGTCTTGAAAGTGGCTGATGCACTGAAACAATGAAGATTATTCACTCCTCGTGATTACTTAATCCTCTTGTCGAGCAGAGAGGTGGTGGTATCCGTGGATGATCAGTTGTACTTCAACGAAGAGGATGATTTGTTCTACGGTGAGCCCCAAACAGCCCCGTCAACCAAACCTATGGCCAGGAGCTCCATTTTTTGTTACGCTTTGCTCTCGCTGTGAGCAGTTGTCTCTGAGGTCGAGCTGATTTCCTCTCTGCGCAGGCTAGAACCTAACGCCCAGCACACTTGCTGTCACTTTGATCCCTGCACTCTTGCTCCAAACCCCAGCTGTTCTCAGATTTGACTCGAGTTTTGCAGCGTCCATCAAGGGGAACGAGATGTGGGTGCCGCTTCTAGAAAAGGCGTATGCCAAGCTGCACGGCAGCTACGCCGCGCTGTCGGGGGGCTGGCCAGAGGAGGCCATGGAGGATCTCACGGGCTGCCCCGGAAAGTGCTACGAGATCGCAGATTTTGAAGGAGGTGAGATCACCTCTCATCAAGTTGTTCGATCTGAACTCTCATCAAGTTGGAAGGCTTGTGGGGAAGGGAGCGGAGACCTTTGGTGCGAGCGATAGTTTGACTCTCTGCTTCCTGACTTCGTTGGGCGTTTCCACCATTGGGTGTGACCTAGCGGCTGTAAAGCTCTCGACTGCTTCTTGCTTTTAGGGAGTCCGCTCTTGATCGTAGGACCCTGGATGCGGCCGTCACTCTGGACCTGCCCGGTGGCTTGAATCTTCTGATACGAAGCACAGGGTCGCCCTCTGTATCTTCCCCAACTGTTAGCCCGCACTTGAAAATCAAACCCTTCGACAAACACCCGAAGGCTGGTGGCGATCAGAAACGCACTCTTGGATCTGCTTCTGGCCCCTACTTGGTATACGCTCGTACTTTGCGTGCTTCCGTATGAGCGATATCGCGCCTGCTGACGAGACCACGTGTCCATTCGTGTCAGATTTGTGGGCGTCCATTCTGTCGTGGCACGCCGAGGGCTACCTGCTGTGCTGTAGCACGGGGACCGTCAAGAAGAAGAAGGCCAAGGGCATTGTCGACATGCACGCATACACCATGCTCACAGTGAGTGCTCCGACTCCTCTCGCCTCCTCGTGGCACATCTTCTGACTCAAGTGTCGTCACCCCTTTCGATGTAAGACCGTGTACTGTCTGAGGAACGCGCTACGACGACCTTTTGGCAGAGCCGGCACGCAGTAAGGCGCACGACTTGCCTCAGTCCGGACAGCAGTGCGCCTGCCAGGGGATACAAGAAGAAGCAGTCTTCGGCGGCGGGAGCGAACTTCTGGTCAGAGCGGTCTCTGGTCCTATCTGAAGAGGCGTAAATGGGGAGCCTTTGTCGATGTCCTGAGCCGTTAATGAGGAGTTATCGTGCTGTCGTCAAGGTGGAGGCCAGAGCCAGGCAAACTCAAAGAGCTCTCTAAACCCAGCAGGTCAGCCTCCGTAGCTTTTTATCGAGAGTCGGCAGATAGTACTTAAAAGTGTCCGTTCCGAAAAGAGGAGTCGACCGTGACACAGATTCGTCCGCTGAAAACTCTTCGATAGTGCCGTCGGAGCTCTCTGACCTCATCATATTTAAAGCTCGAAGCCTCGGCTTTGGCAAGCGTCAGCGTCTTGAAGCATCGCAACCGCACATCTCATCACCTCAATATCCGCTTCAAGAGACGCAAGCGTGCTTGCCTTGCCTACAAACCCAACCGCTTTGGCTCGGTACAGGCGCAGGAGGCCCACGGGTTCAAGCTGGTACACATCCGCAACCCGTGGGGCGAGGGCGAGTGGAAAGGCGCATGGTCCGACAACAGCCCGCTGTGGGAGCAGTACCCGGACATCAAGCGCGAGCTGTACGACGTAAATGCGGACGACGGCGTTTTCTGGATGGCGTTCGAGGACTTTGTCAAGGTGAGCGGAGCGAAGACGAGACGCAGGGGACTGAAGGCGCGGATTTATTTGAGTTGGTTGGAGAGGTTGGGCCACTCTCTGAGGAAGATGCAGAGGGTTTCTATGATAAGGGATTTAATGTCGGTGAACGGTGAACTTTACAGAGTTTCGAAAATCAGAAGTGGGATAGAAGTCGGAAACAGTGGACCCGTTCTCTTGAGCCCGAAGGGAAGGAGCGCTGAAACGTCTGCGATTCGATGGACACGCATCGATCCGGATGGATGGGACGATCGACGGGAACCCTCCGGAAGAAGCTAGAGGCTGGCGGTGGAAAGAAGGCAAATGGTCGCACGAGAGTCAGGGGCACAAAATTCCGGAAAGCGGCCTGGCTCGTTTGCAGACTGGCAGGAGGGCAGCTTCGTCGGAACCCGCTGAGCGCACCGATTGTCCCCCTTTAGTTGCAGGCTCGAATGGGAGCATCCTAGGGAAGTTTCACATGCAAAAATTCCAGGAGAATCTTTGCGTCAGCTTCGATCGGAGAACCCCCTACGGCTCATCGACACCTCCAATTCTTGCACCGGGTAAACTTCTGATAGACGCGTCCTCCTTGCTTAGACCCGTCCTCCTCATATAGACCCCTCTTGGCACATATTTTGAGTCGGCAGTCACAACTACCACGTTCGGCGTTCTGACCGAGCTTCGCCCGTGCAGGTGTATGAGACGGTGCACGTGGGCTTCGTGACGGAGACTGCGCGCGGCCGGCTCCCCGCGGCCTTCGACGAGGACACCGAGACGCTGAGCTTCTCCTTGACGGTGACGGACGCAGACACAGTCTTCGTGCAGGCGCACCAAGAAGACCCCCGCATGTGAGCTCTCTCAATCAGCTGCCCGCTTTGGAATAACGTCGTGCCACGTGGCTTTCCGGCGACATTTGATACGTCGCGCCTTTCCGCGAATGAGACGTCGGTCTCTTCTGTGGCGGCCAGATATTAGGGTACCCTTCGCCAAGGGGAACTAGCTCCTCCACGCCTTGTTTTGGATAATCATAGGGTCCGTTTGACGACGGTAGGCTTGCGCTCGTGATACGGACAGCCAACTTACTTTGCACGATCCCCTTGGTCCGTACCTTCATCAGCACTTTGCGAGTTTGGCCTCGAACGTTCATTTGTCGGGTCTGGCCGTGACGTCTTCCAATCAAAGGAGCGTGTTTGGAGCCGCTTCAAACATTCTGTCCGGCAAATGCTGCTCATTTACCTGCTTGCCAACTCGCGTGCTGTTGCGCGTGCAGGGAAGGCAGCCGCGAGGACATGCTGGCGCTGCGGGTGACGATTGAGGACGCCGCAGAGGAAGAAGTCTTCACGTGAGCGTTTCCGTCCATCTGAGCAACATACTTTCAGTCTAGTTGTCACGTACTGGGTTGCCGAACTCTTTGGCACGGTGCAAGGTGTCGCTGTTCTAGGGACTCTCGACATTCATCTTACGCAAAGCACAAGATTACGACAGGAGCGATTGTCGGGGGATTTCTGCCGCCCGTTGGCGTGTCCTTCGCCGCCCAATCTCCTGCTCCGCTGCCGTCGCCCCTTCGCCTTCTCAGATAGACGTAGTTCCAACTATGAGGCGCTCTTACACTTCCACTGAGACGTTTTCTGTTGCTTTCAGCAACGAGAGCGAGGCAGGTGACCGGTCCGTATTGGTGATCGCCACCGACTTGCAACCGGGGGAGTACACCGTGTACGTGGAGGCCGTGGATGGGTGCCCGGAGGACGACCGCCGGTTTGTGTTGACCGCTCACTCGAGCGAAAAGGGGGTCAAGATAGATGGGCCGTTTGAGAACGAGGATGAGGAAGACGAAGAAGAGGATTAGGACGCGCGCTTAGCGGGGCGTTTTAAGCAACTGATATTGGGTTGTGCGGGATGGGGGCGCATTGTGTGTTGAGTCGCGGGGTTGAGTTGCTTCTGGTGAAAGTGGGAAGCACTCGAGGTAATTGGTTTATTTGCGGTTGTTGGACTGATGTTGCGATACTGCGGGAAACATACTGCCAATAAGAGGTGAGTAACTCAGGTTACTATATATTCAAGAGCTGCGGCATGGCACGCATGAAGACTGCGTACTAAGCAGAGCGCCGCCAATCCCTGGTGCAAACGCGGATAGACATAGCCTTACGTAAGGAAAGCAATCTAAGCCGCCACCATCGCTGGCACCACCGTCAAGGACTGGTACAACCACCGAGGATCAGAAAAGTAAGTACTGTTTGGAAGCGGGGATAGGTCCAGCCGGCGGCGCTTCAATCAATTGTGGATGTTCAATGAGTTACTGAAATTCCAAGGAACTAGCTGTTCGATGATTTCGTGATGGCTGAACTTCTGAATGTTTGAATACATGCATGGCTGCAACTACAGTAGTGACAGACGGTCGTGGTCGAAAGCGCATTCGCTTGCATGCCTCATTTGATATGGACAATTGATTGGATCGCAACATGCGACTGCCGCGGCGGCTAATTAAGATTGGTGCATATCACATGCACAGTTTAATCGAATGCATGCCAGGACCTAGCCGAGCAGTATGTGCTGCATATGCCGGTGCTATAGACTGCGCACGTACTGCCATGTTGAGCATGATACTGCATTGAAATCTGAAGCTGGCTGGAGCCCGGATCCCTGATCTAGTGGTTTAGCAGGCCGAACCGTCGTCATTTTGTGTATCAAACGGCCTGCATGGCGCCGGGGTCCAAGCTGCCGCCGCGGGATCAGGATTTGTATGCATCAGACCGTCGACTCGAGGATCTGATCGAAGCTCTTCAAACAACTGCGTCTGCAACTTTCGATATCGACAACCTTACATGAACCTGCCCTGGAAGTTTGAGATTATCACAAGCGCGCTCAAGTCCGAATTAAACAACCCCCAAGGCAGCAGCCAACGATGCAAGATACGAAGGGAGCACTGATATGATTCAATGCCTCATCGAGGACAAACGACTGACTGCAGACAAGTCCCGCCGCACGCGTGCCAGCATCTACAGCCCTACTGTGCCCAAATCAGTGGCAAAATGTCCTCGTCAGATGTTTTCGTTAAGAGTGCATAATCACGGTGCGGGGCAATGACTGCTCTTTTAAGGTTGACCTAACATCATCCTCCAACCAGCTACCTAAGCAAATTCCGGCCACGTATGACCAGCAGCACTTACTGCAGCCGTTGCCCGGAGCCACGAACAACCTCTATTGATCTTGACCTATCATACAGCGAGCTGTTTAAACTGCTTGCATCACGACGGATACCCAACTACGACGGTACACGTACACGCTCCAAGCTTTCAACCAACAAGAACCGCGTCAAGCGTCGGCTCCAAAACAACTTCGTTCATAACATACTCTACACCCCCCCGTTACCTTTACCCTCTTCCGTACGGTTTCACGGCAGCCCCTTCTCGAGCTGGCCCGCCTTCAGGTCATCTTCCACGTAAGCCAACTCCTGCACCGCTTTCTCGTGCTCGTGCACCCGCTTGGCCTTCTTCCGGAAATAGAACACGACAAAGACGAGTAACAATCCCGCCACGCAAAGGCCCACTATGACGAGAATCACAGCGAGCATTGTACTGCTGAGGCCGGAACTTTTGTGAGTCTGGGGCACCGTGAGCGTGGGCTGCGCAGGAAAGGCGCTCGTGTTGCTGCCCACAAGGCTCGGGCTCGCAACTGCAAGGGGGCGATAGATACAAACGTCAGGTTGAGAAGCACACGAGGTTCACACTGTGGGGTCTTTACTGTGGCAGTAAACAGGTGGAAAGCTCTTAGGCTTGAAGGCGTGAATATATTTATTATGGCAGTGGACTGGTGGGAAGCTCTTAGAATCAAGGGCGTGGTAGAATGAGGCTCAACAGTGCTGGATTCGCTCAGAAAGAAATAGGGTCTAGAGTCGAATCAGAGATGGGCTCGCCGAACTTCAGTGTATCCATGTATTAAGTGACGCCCAATAAAATCTCAACCCTAGCCCTAACGAGGACAATCTGCCTGCGTGACCCAATATAATCTCAACCCTAGCCCTAACGAGGACAATCTGCCTGCGTGAATGCACTAACACTGAGACAACTTGAGACGTTTAAGGAGCCCTCACCTGTCGAAGGAGCTCCCGCCAATGATGAGGTAACTGCGGTGGGCGTCAGAACAACTGGCACCTGCGGCGCCGGCGCCGGTGCTTGCACTCCCGAGCATTCTTGGCAGTAGAAGATTGCGTCAAACTCATGTCCCACATACTTTTCCAAAGTTCCGTTCGGCGCAAAGTCCAACGGGCAAAGCTCCCATTCCGCAAAGGTGGCATCGGGAATGAGCCACCGCTCGTTGTAAAAACCGCAACGCTTGCACTGCTCGGTGGGAAGAGTGGTGAGGGGCTGAAAGGATTCGTGGCCGTTGAAGGAGAACAGCTGATTCTCGTCATCGATGTCTGAAAGGTATATTTGGGTGTCGTTATCGGAGCATTGGAAGTAGACGGTGGGGTCACCCAGAAGCTGGTGCGTCTGGAAGATGGTCAAGTTCAGCAAAATGACGTCGCGGGGGCCTGCGAGGGAATGAGATCGCAGTCAGGAAGGTCTGTATGTAGATGCAGCATTGGCAGTTGCTTTGGCAATGGAGGCTGCCGGTGATTTTGCACGTTTGCTAACTTGGTTTGGCTAAGTTACTCTGGCCTATAAGAGGGCCCAAGCTTGGAGTTTTGGATACTGGGAAGGAGAGAGCCTGATGCAAATAAAAAAGAAACCAGGCAGGGAGAGGCAGCGCCAGCCAATGCTCTTAAGGCCCACCAGGCATAAGGAGGTGAATGGGTATCCAATGAGGTGAGGGCAAATGAAGCGCTTGAGAAATGGCATCCCACAAATAGGCATAGGGTTGCGGTCCACAGGTGAATCTAAATCTGAACATGGGAAAGCAGACTTGCAATGAATGGCGACAAAGGATAGGTAGATATATTGGAGGGCCGTTGACAAGCCAGTCAGTCGCGACAACCATTAACTGCACTAGCTGCGAGAAGGAATGGGGCATACTTTTTGGAAACCCTATTCCTTTAACCATTGGAGACTCGATACTCACAGCTTGAGTCAAAAATCCAACCAATCATGAGTATGACTAATCTCAGGACACTTGAACGTGCAGCAGTCATCCGATTCAATAGCACAGCCCCGGGGCAAGTTCCAGGTGAAAGGAGAAGCGGACGTGGGAGGGGGGTCCCAAACAGTGAAATCAAATAGGGCGAAGCAGATAAGGGGCACAGGCGCACTTAACATGACAACAACTTTGAAAAGAGATCATCTTCTGGTGACTGCAAACTTGTCTAAAGGACGATAATGTCAATGGCAGAGCAAAGCGGAATCAGGAATGCAACCTGCGCCTACCACCAACAGCCCAGGAGCTTTTAGCTGCTAATTGCACCTATCAAAATGTCTCGATTGACTGGAGCCATTTGCTGAAGGGAGGACTACATCAATGGTCACGACATGGCTGCCATACCAACTGCGCCAACTCAATCACAGCCTTTTTCAGACCAAGCATGTTTCAAGGCTTCAGAAAGAATGGTTTGGAAGGGATCCCTTTGCCCCTCACCTGCCTCAACCGCTGGTGCCCAGAAAAGAACGCACGCCAAGAGACACGAAGCGCATAGTAGGTTCCTGAAGAGGGCCATGGTTGCCACAAAAACTGGTCCGCCGGGAGATTTCTGCTGAAAGCGCCCCTTTCGCCTACCTAGTTAAGGTTGCTCCACCATTTCACGAACACTGCAAGCCCTTACTCGAGGCTGAGCTGCAACATGTGCTGGGCAGCTTTGCAGCTTCTCACATGATCAGATTTCAGGGCTAGCAACCCACAGCTTCTAACCCCCTGGCACGCCTGAGTGACGTCAAATATCTTGCAGAAGTGGCACTTTCTGATTCTTGCAATGATTGCAAAGATGTACAACTTCTTGAATTCTGCCATCTGTCAAGTTTGTTGGGTGCGTGTACAAACAAACCGATCTTCAAGATGCGGTATCCTAGGTCCTAGGTACCATACCGGTAAAAGGGTGCAGCCCACGCGGCGGGGGATCCCTTTAACCACGACTCTTTCCGAATGTGCCAGCTCTTGATGATATACGATGTTCGCTTGTCCTCTGCAAAATTTTGGGTCCCACCGTCCATTTTGGGCCCCCTAGTAATGACCGTGGTGGAGATTACCGGTGCCGCTCAGACATGTGCAACTTGCAAGGTGTCCAGAAGCAAGACATGATTGCTGCCAGCAAAACATGTGTAATGCATCGTCAACAAAGTTTGATAAACCTTGCTTGGCAAGTTCAGGTCTGCAGCACTTGCTATCCATGCTTCGATATCGCTTCGTTCACCAATGAGGCACGGGGTGAGCAATGGCATGCTGCACAAGCCTCTCCGCTTCATGTCAATAGGATTTAGTAGTTTGCGCATAAAGAGGCAACTTTTCAGGGCGGCCGGTTAAAATGCTAGCTATACATACAATCAGTAGGTACTGTCAAGTTGCCGACCAACCTTTATGCGTTTACCCAGCTGCTCACGTTCCGTTGCATTAGCACGAAGCTTTTTATTCAACAGAAAGTCGGCTAGAGCCGCTTCTTCGATTGGGAATTTATGGCTCCTAATCGATCTATCAGAGGCGGGTGCGAGAAATGGTATGTGGAATACCAGGGGTCCAGGTTCATGGCCGACAGGTTCTCTTCCTGCAAGAAGTAGAAGTTGGCTTTCAACGTGAAGGTCCTTGTGCTTTTATGAGCACCGCACTGGGTCCGATCCGGACCAGCATCTTAAGAGTTGATTGGGAGGGACTGGTCTAGAAGCTTTTTAGCCTGTTTCAAATTGAGGGAAGCAAGGAGGTTGCGACCAGGCTCTGATGTTCGCCAAGCCGGGTGACCGGCACACGGAGAGCTCGCATCTCGACAGAGTCGCAGGGAGACTGAAGTGAGCCCTCGTACTATAAACTCGGCATCCGCACAACTCTGAGAGGGTTCTAAGGAACAGTTACGTCATTCAAGCAATTAGTTTGAGGAGGCAGAAATCCCACCTGCAAGCGGATGAGCCCCACTTTGAGCGGCTCTGCGTACCCCAGGTGGACCGCAAAGGCGTCCGCTTGGTACTCGAATGTCCGGCTGACGATGTTGAACACGAACGACAGCGTGTGGCTCACGGGGCCAATCACGAACTGCAAAGACAAGGACGTGCATAAGGAAAAGAGAACAAACGAAATCAGCAATCACAGAGAGGAGGTTTTTTGGGCTATATGAAAGTCGGGGAGATCGTTTTTGCTACCTCAGCACGTTCGGTTGGCGACGTCACTCGCGAACATCAGCGCTGCCTCCACCAACACGCTGGGTTCGTCTTGGGACCGCGCACCAGCTAGAGTCAGGAGAATCGAGTTGTTTCCAGATGCTGCTTTTGAAACAGACGTAACGCACGGCTGTCACTCAAGCAGGACGATTCAGCATCGTTCCTACCACCCGCCCTTCTGTCTGTCAGGAGCGCGCAGACTTTGGCAGTATACTCATAAGTTTCATGACCAGATACGCAAAGATTGGAGAGCTTACTCCAAACAGCAGCAGGCCGATCAGCACGGCCTCCGAGTCGAAGCCAAAGCTCTGGTAGAGAACCTTGCTGCCCTTGATCGCTTGGAAGCCGCCCATGTACACCAGCCAGATGACCTGCCAGAAGCGGCGGTGTGAATGCCCGACGTGGTGCACTACGAAAGTTCCGGGGTGAGCAAATAGGAGCAAGGTCCTGATGCAGTCAGCTGAATGTGTACAGAAGCCGGAAAAGCACGCAGGCAGATGAGCCGAAGCCAAAGTTGCTAGGACCTGCTGATGAGACCGAGAGAGTGATCGCACGAGACGAGCCAGGCACATCGAGGCTGAGCGCTGAAAGTAGCGACTGCTCTTTCGCCGATCAGCGCAATCAGTTGCTCCGCTCACCTGCTGAGCTAAGAACGTGTAGACTGTGTGGTTCAGCTTCCAGTGACCCTGCAGCGACACGCGGACAAGAACCGCTTAGCTTGACGACACGGCTTAGTGGCAGGATACTAAAATGTGTGCAAAAGCGTCCTAAAGCACTGATTCAGCAGTCACTGTAATTGACACAAGCGTGCGCACGAAGCCAGTCGTTGCAGCAAATCCTCTTGGGATGTCAATTCTGGTCTGTGCGACATGCTGACATGGGCGTCAAAGGGATCGAGAACGTGACTGTGATGCAATTTGGCGTACCAGCTCGTGGCCGATGACCGCAACCACCTCCTCGTCCTTCTTGCACTGCACGCAGAGAAAGGCGGCACACATGACGTCCGTAAATTCCTAGACTAAAATCAGAGAGAAGCACAGTGACTCCGCGACCGGAATTAAACTGTCCAGAACGGGTCGCAAACTCAAGATGGAGTTGACTAAAAAAAAGCCTCGCCTTCCAGCGGCCGTGGCCTGCAAGGATCTACTTCTAATCGTGCTAATCAAGCTTCCTAGCATACTATTCCTTTTTACTACATTTTAGAAGGGCCTGGCATGTGGTCGTTTCAGACAAGACTGCAAAGCAACTTTTCGCTCACCTGCTCGAGCAGGGTGTCGTAGAGGACGATCCGCTTGTTCTTGAAAAAGCCGTACAGGTACGCCTGTAACAGCAAGCAGGACTGATTGCATTTGAGTTGCGAAGTGGGAAACACAAAGCGAACCAGACGTTCGGCCTCAGGAACGGTCGCCGAAGCGGCCTTCGAACATCTTTCAGCGAGAGGAAGATCCAAACGCCCTGCGTGGAGGTATCCTGATTCAGAGGCTCCGTTGCTCACCCTCTCAAGAGTGCAAAAAAGGACTGCAGTCCAAGCAGCATCGTGCCGATCGAGAGCTTTCCGTCCGAAGGCTTACGTTGCTGTGGCCCGATCGAATGGATCCGTTGACAACGAAGAGCTTCTTGAGGGGGTAGCTGAGGGACGCTGCCAGCTTCTCGATCTCGGTGCGCAGGGTGCCTTCAGGCAGCTGCAAATACGGGCATGTACTTCGATAAGAAATAGCAGCAGAATCACGAGCTACTATGAAGAACGTCCTGCCCTCACTAGCGCTGGCTTGTCCTTTTTGATACTGGGTTGGACACGATCAATTCCAGACAGCTGGCGTTCTTCCAAAAGCGAGTAGTGGTAAAACTTCGACCACACCAGACAAAGCTTCTGGCCTGTTTGAAGGCTTCGGTAGAGATGTTCTGAAAACGAGCGGTGCCTGAGGTGAGCTCTCACGGTGCACTCACCGTTGTGTAGGTGTTGAAGAGAGGCGCGATGACAAGCGGGTAGAGGACCATCATGACCAGGGACAGCACCAGCAGGAACGCCCAAAGGTACACGGCCAGGTACGGCCCGCCGACCTGGGGGAGACAAAATGCAAAACCTTTTTCATGTCGTTGTAACATCGAAGAGAGCTGCGATACGTAAACGGTGACAGATTGTGCGATGAGTAGGAAAACGTACACTCTGTGCGGCTTGCTCGCAGGAGCGGGGCTTCAGAACGCTCAAGTAATTTCCAGGTTCGGAGTCCAGAGCGAAGCAGACTAACTCGAGACTAGTAGAGCAGATATGCATGACGGCTCGGTTGGGCACTTCCTTCATTTGGGAAGGTCGAGAAGCTGCCGTAGAAGCTGTGGTTTCTCCTGATGGAAGCGCAAGCGAACGAAATGTGGCGCCAGCAATTGCTCACCTTCACAATTGTGATAATTCCGGCAATGATAGGAGGCGCAATGATTGCCGTCAGCGCATACCCCTTGACAAGGTCTTTCACAAAGAGAGCCGGAGTTTGCTGCAAAGAATCCCCGCATGTGTTACATCAATCCTCAGTTGTGGAGTCCTTGTCTAGGATCCTGAACAGATACATTATTGGGACACGAAGCCGTTCCGAAATCACAACTAGCTTGTTTGCATCGTCTTCTTGCCACCTGAAGCTGAGAAATGCCATCAAGCATGTAAACCGAAGCTGCTTACAACCAATCGCCAATGGAAGTGACCATATGAGGGTGGTGCAAAGCATTCGACGAACCAACAAGCAGACAAAGTATGAAGTCACCTTGTTGAATCCATGCACTTGCTCGATGACAAACGTCGAGTAAATTGACCATGGAAGGTCGGTGACCTGGAAGGAGAGAGGCTCAGCTAAAGAATAGAACTGGGCGCTGTGTCGTAAAATCCAGAAGGAAGTGGCAGTGATTACAAAATAGTGAATCAGCCGCATGAGGAAAAAACCTTCTCTACTTGTAGGTCTCACACACTTTTGAACGGTTTGTGCCTATCGGATTCTGCAGAGTGCCAGTTAGAATGCTCAAAGCCAATCGTATTCCTGCACAAATATTTGGGGAATCTCTGGTTGCCACTATCTTAAGGGCTCGTGCATCCAAACCCAAGTGCTGATTCTGCCCTAAACTTACGAACTGCCAGTTTAACTTATATGGACAACCTAGTATGATAAAAAAGCATGGATCAAGTTGAAGGCGGTCACAACAACAATCCCGAAATGAGACGGAGCCCCAAAACTCTCAATAAAAACCTTTATTGAAAAAGGAGTGGGCCCATACCTGTGACCACACAAATTGGATGGCCAGAAACAGAAGAGACTGGAGAATCTCGTGTTCTTCTGGTTTGTAACCGTACTCTCTCAGAATGTCTCCAGATCTCTGCAGGATGGATTGAGGGAGTAGTTAATGACCATGTCAGCATTCAATAACAAATCATGTGATTCTCACGAGCTTCTAGCACTTACTTCTGCAGAGAGTGGTGAGAAGCCCACACAATATAGTCAGCGCCCTCCCAGCGAAAATGAAAGTAACATACCAAAGCCAGAGAGATGGAAAGACTACTGCTATTGCATGAAAGACATACATTGGGTTACTCTCTATGCGATATTATCACTGTCAAGATTTTGAGAAGGAGCCCCTTACCAGCCACAGCCATGGGAGGACACCAAACAGAAGTATTGCCGTCTGCTCAATCTGCCCAACCGCCGAGTGTAGGAGGCCAAAGTAGCTGCATCACGACAGCAGAACCTCAGCGAGCGTTGATGGATGGACAAGCTGCGAAGAACATAGCAACCACACCTTAAATTCTGGTGGAACTATGTCAAATTTAGAAAGTGACCGCACTGATTGGATCATTGAAGGCGCCAGATGGACGTGGCATACCTCTTATCCAGCTGATATGCCTTGGACTTCTCGAACTTTTCTGCTGAAACTATTCCTTTCAATTGTGGCGGCAGGCTTGGCCTTTTGAGCGCCTGCAACTGTCGAAGGTCGAGATACGTCTCGAAAACGTACACCACCGTCTGGAAGCCTGCAAATTGCAATCGCGCAGAAAATTATCTTCAGAACACTCAATGTTCAAGACATGGCAAGCTGTTTCATTCCAAAATTTGATGTTCCTCAAACAATCTGAAGGCATGATGCATTACTGGACTGATCCATCAAAAACACCATCTAAACAGTATCTTTCAGTCCTTCTAATACCCATTTTACGGCAATTGCATATGGGGGACTTCCAATAACATATCCATTGGAATTAATGATCACCCGTGAAGCAGAGCAAAGAGGGATGTTCGGAGCATACCAACAACTAGGTACAGCCAAGGCCAGCTTGAAAGCTGCAGCAACTCCATTCTGTCCACAGACGGTAGCAGCCAAACCGCGGGCCCTTGCAGACACGCAAACTTGCAACTCACAAATCCTTCTGACTGCAACTCAAGCTACTCCATGCGCGCTGCCTGACAGGACACGCAAGGCTTGAGAGGATGTTCAAGAAGCTGAGACTTTCTCGTGTACCACCACCATCAGCACCTGTGCAAACTTTATCTACGCCAAATTGCGAGGCGCCAATGGTGCTGCTGCAATGCGTGTGCATGTCGCCCAGTCCTTCAAGTTCTTGATTACTTTTCAAAAAGCAAAGAAAAGTTTGGCAAAGAATTTCCCAAAATGGCACATTTTGAAACGCTCAAAGTGCGCAAATTTGTCAGTTTGTCAAATTTGCTCCACCGCTACACGAAATACATCGCGTGTCAAGCTGCATAATGCCACATTACCATACCGTATAAGCAACGTGATTTTGCGACACCGACATGTAAACTTACAACGGAGTTTTCAGCGCCCAAAAAGGTTAAAACGCAAAGTTTGGAGGCTGGATACCACTGCCAGGCGCTTTTAATTCAACGTCATTCATCTTGCAGGCCCACCTGGGCGCCCACAATGACATGCAACTTTCTGACAAGGCAAGCTGGCAGGAGGGCGTCCCAATGCGTCCTGCAAGACAATTAAAGCTTGCTAAGCAACCTAGAAAGTGGTTTTATGTTGTGTTCAGCTTGCGGATTGGACGCAGTGTCTCATTGGTTTGTATGTCACGCTGATAAACCTGTCAGAGGATGGGGCAGAAAAAGCGGAAGCCAGGTAGGACTGGAAATCAAACGGTTGGCAGCCCAAAGAATGCAGAGCCTCCGACCTTTGAGACTACTGTAAATGAGGGCAGTTCAAAGAGCAATGCGGCTTTGGAGCTGGAGACAAGTACGTTGTCAAAGTTTCTCCAAGCTGACTCTGCAGGTAAGTGTCATGAATTCATGCAGAATTGGCGCCAGTCACTTGGAAGTAAGCTGCCACGAATGAAATAGCGGGATGGGGGTTTGTTTGGGGCAATCCCTGGCTTCAAGCTTGCACCTTCCGTTTCGGGATTAAAGAGGCCATTCTTATGGGACTTCTGGGAGATTCAATACTCGTTGATTCCATCCATCTACTTTCGTCGGGCGTTTTGCCATGTTTATCAGGTCACACATCCACTCCATGTGTGCTCAGTGTGTGGATATATCAGCCTTTTTCTCCCTGAAATGCTGGGCCTATCGAGGTGAAAGGTTGTCACTCAATCTGTGCGGGTCCACAGTATTTGCATGAAGGCTCCAAGTTCCCTAGCTGTCTTTCAAGAAAGAATGCTGAGGAGCCTGTACGCTAGTGTTCAGGTAGATATTCACCTGTGTTGCAAGAAAGCCCCGATCCCTTGCGGTGCTGTCAAAAAAGCAGTGGCAAAAAAGCGCAGAACTGCTTTTCCTTTTGGTCCAGCCACATGTTGAACAAACAGTCTCGGCACCCCTTGTAAAGCGCATTTCGCTTAACCCTGGTTGCTGTGCTATTTGCCACCCTCATCAAAGGCACGCAAGCAACCCCCTCCTATATCAAGTCCACATTGCCCGCCTGCCAAGCCAGAAATGCCTGTCACCTTGCGCACAAACTCCTCCCTTCAATTGTCAGCAGGGCTCAATCATCCAGAACCTGCTGCCAAGTGCCTTTTTCTATTTACGCTCTGCAGCGGTCCAGGAGCGCGTTGAGCGAATCCAGGAGCTGCTGGGGAGCGAGACAGAGCTCACCCTCGCGCAGCGCGCCGACTTGGTCTACAACCGGCGCCCCGAGATCCTGGACCTCGTGAGCGACCTCCAGCAGGCGTACCTTATCCTTGCCAGGCGCTACGACCACGTCGCAGGAAAGGTCGTCCGCCTCGTCAAAAGCGCAGACTCTCCGGTTCTGGACGCACCCATCCTCCAACCCCTGAGCGCCACGAAGCGCCGCCCCGCAAAGGGCAGCAACGGGAATTCTAAACGGGGGGGAGATGATAGGGCTGCAAGTGCGTCCCCTTCACCCTCAGAACGGACGACTTCTCCTTCCCCCGAGGGCTCCAATTTGAACCCAGATGCTGTCCCCTTTGTGGCGGTCCCCCAGTCGCCGCAGCTCAATCCTGCAGCTCCGCCGTTCACACCCTCTCACCCAATCCTGACTCCCAGCACTCCAAACGGCATCAGTGCCCCGGCCCCCAACCAAAACACACTGCTCGGCAAGCTACGATTAGCGGGTGCTGATGCTGAGGGGGATCCCGAGACCCCCCGCATGAGTACGTTCCGTTTCAAGGACGTAAAGGCCAGCGGCGGGTACAACGTGGAAGAAGAAGGACCACTGCATGCTGGCCACCTCTACGGCGATCTTTTGGGCGAAGGCCCTGTGCACGCGGGGCACGCCACCGGTTCCTGGGTGCCCGAATCTGTGTTGAACACAGAAGACCCGCTACAGGGCCCCGACATCCAAGAAGTTGTGTCGTCGGCTGTCAAAGGCGCGAGCACAGAAGCAGAGTTGGACTCGGAGGGAGAGCCGCTGCGAGACTCGCAGCCGCTGTCGGCGTTCCTTTGCGCTGCGCAGATCCAGGAGGCGGCGGGGCGGAAACAGGGCCTCTCCGACGCCCCGCGCGAGCTGAGCCTGAGCGCAGGGCTGGAGGAGGGCCCTGTTCACGCGGGGCACGCGCTGATGATCCGGGGCGCCAGCACCAAGTTCGAGCGGGAGTTGCGGCTGACGGCGCAGATGGCCGAGGCGCTGGCGAGGGACCAGATGCAGGCACGGAAGTTTTCGGACCTGGATTCAGAGTTTGTGCTGCAAGTGAAGAAGGACGGGCAGCCGGCGCGGCCGGTGGTGAAGCAGTCGCTGCTGGAAGAGATGATCTGCCAGGACAGGGGGGCGAGCGAAGAGGACAAGAAGCAGCTGGAGGGCATTGGGGATCCGGTGCAAGAAAGCGGGCAGGTGAGGGGCTGGATACGAAGCTTTTCGGGAGCGAAGGCAAGGAGTGTGTGTAGATACGGCTCGATGGTCGCGGGTATGGACAGGGATGAAATCGATGTTTGCAATCGAGCCATGCGAGGTCAATCTTGATCTGCTTTTGAGGTCGATCAGACAGGAGAGTGGGTGGACGAATCCCTCTGCTCTTTCTTGACTTCACGGGGCACGAGAGCTGCGCAGTCAAGGACGCCGTTCCTCGTTTATTCAAACGTTTGACTGTCTCGACCATGAGGTTAACACCGATCCCTCTCGCTCTTTCTGACCTCTTGCGTGTGGGCCTGTAGCATTCGGACGCGTCGGACGTCGAAGCGGAGCCGCTGCGGGCGTCCGTCCTGGAGGCAGAGCGGCTGCGGGGCGAGGTGAGCGATCTGGTGGCCCAAAAGCGCGAAGCCATCCGCTACCTCACGGAGTGCGTCGACGTCATCCGAGACGAGAAGAAAGACGTGGCAGCGGCAGCGGCACGCCTGGCGGCGGAGAACTTTGCGCTGCGAGAGCAGCTCGAAGAAGTTTTGGAAGCGCGGGGTGGGGGGCTTCGGGGGTTTGGAGACGACCGGCAGGGGTGGGGAGAAGTGATTGCGGAAGCGTTGGAGTATGGGGATGTGGACCTCAGCGGGCTAGCGGAGTCGCTGAGAGCGCATGCGGCTAGTCCGTCCACCAGTAACGGAAACGGAGAGGGACGCAAAGCGAAGGGAATTGTGATTCGGGAGCCGGAAGCAGGGAGTAAGAAGGGAATAGAAAGTGGGGAATCGAGTGTAGCGGATGTAGCTGGGGACCGCAAAGGAAAGGGGAAGGTTGAAGAAGAGGCGCCGTTGGATAAGGGGCGGAATGGAGGGGGTGGGAAGTCGGCGTTGCAGGAGCTGCGGGAAGAGAACGAGTCTTTGCGAAGAGCTCTAGCAGCGGTAGGCGAGAAACAGAGCCGGAGATGACCGCTTGAGAGGTAAGTATAAGGCCAGCCCACTCCAGAAGACCAGAAAACAGTCGCGGAGCAGTACGTTCGGGTTCATTGTAACTAAACGTTAGTTGCTTGGTAAAGGTACGGTTTGATGAGCCGGTGGAGGCATGGCAGCTCCACCTCCCTAGGAACCTGTGCAGTTTTGAGAGGGGCAAAGGTTTCGAGTCGGGTTGAGCTTGACATCCGTTTGTAGTATTCAGATAATTAGACGTTGATTTCAGAAGTGCCTTTGTAAGCCCTTGCTGTACAGCGATTCAGAGTGTCGAGTCAGCTTGTATTGGGTCGAGGTTGGTCTTACATACGTTCTACAATGAAGTGCATTTTCGGAGTTGCTATTGTCTGCGGACGTTTGGATCTCGTAATGGGTAGCTCACAGACAGGCTTTTGTCCTAAGTAGAGAACTTGATCGGTCGTGCGTGAAAAGAATGGATTACGTCTTGAGTAGGTTGAATCTTGTCAGTTAAGTTCGGCAATGCAGAGTTAAAGAGGAGTCCGACCGCGCTTAGACTTGTTCAAACAATGGGGTGTCCTTCCAAGTCTCAGGAATCTGTTTTGCACCGCATAGTGTCTGCATGCATGCACCAATGATAATTGCAGTTCCGACATGCAATCGTGATTCACCACTGAGCGATTGTGATCAATCGTTGGTCGGGCATATGTTGACGGCTACTTCTTACACTTGATGGAATCATGTACGCACGTGCGTGGTACCCAGTGAGGCCCGCGCGAGCAGTTTGATAAGTAATCATTCATTGCACAGTGCATGCAGCATACGACGTACGGTGTACCAATGATACCAAAAATATTATAAGACGGTTGAAGTTTTTGTATTAAGCAAAATTAAAACTCCCGTTTTAACATGAATGTCGAGCTGCAACGTCCAGGCTCGCGTGGAGGCCTACATACAAGTACCGGACCGTCTCTTGCTTTAAGTTGATAATCAAGCTGACGGTGCGAGTTTCTCTGCATTATGATGCACAGGCAAATGCGGCCCACAACGACAAAACATTCGAAATTCGGGCCCGGAAAAAATAATGTGGCCGCATTTGCCTGTGCATCATAATGCTTCAATCGATACCCAGCCATGGCCATGCAGTCTAGATGTACGAGGAGTCGAAATTTTTCCCTTGGCGGTTGCGCGCTGGCAGTTCCTTGTGTTATGATTGACCGGGTGAAAGTGGAAACTCTTCCATACATGATCGCCCCTCTTTATGATCGTCTCTATCAAACGGTTCTAGAGAATATGTTCGTTGGCCAGGAACCAACGTTTGACTGACAACGAACGACTCAACATATCTCCCACAACACGATGATCCCTGCAACTCGCAGCTCCAACCTGGGGGACTGCCGTTTGAGGAAGATCATACGTTTCTAAATCTCTCAGATTAGACTACCGGTGCGCCTGTGACCTTTGCTCGGCGACGCGGTACGCATTCCGGTGTTGCACCTTTCAACGATGTTGGCGACCAGCCGCCTTGACCTTTGCACGAAAAAGTCGCCACGCTTTTGCAGCTTAAGCTGCAAGTCGGGACTCTGTAGCACATACCTGAGAGGGCAGAATTCACGGTGGCGTTCGAGAAAGCATGTTTTCGAAGAGCCGAGTCCCGGGATCAGCACCCACAGAAGTTACCGTTCTGCACCAGAGAGCTCCCTAAAAGTTGAGCATACGTTGACATGTCAAGAAGGATGAAAGGAAAGCCCTCGGAGGCGGTTGACAATCTCCTCTCCAAATCTTGCAGCGGCGGGCCCGGCGCTCTGGAAATTCACTGGACTAGCCCAAAAACCCGCAGTAATATCGTTGCAGCAGAGTGTAGATCGTCCTTAAAGACCATCCCGCCAAAAAACTAAGTAGCAACAAGCGCAGAGGACCCATCCTGTCTACTGTAGTCTGCCCTTTCTTTTCCCAGCAGATTTCCAAGAAGAAGACAGACGATGGATCTGGTCGCGATACGGCCCGCCGGTTCTCACCGCATCTCCTCCTCGAACTCCTCCCCGACGTGCGCGCACCCCCCCGGCACCCCGGGCAGCAGCAGCGTCACGGTGTGCGCGAGCTTGAAGACGCGCAGCCCGTCCAGCGCGGCCGCGGGCGCCAGGAGCAGCTTGATCAGCCGCCGGAAGAGGGCGCTCAACCTGCGCGAGAAACAGACGGCGGTTCGCGCGAGAAAAGTGTGGAACTTGCTTGGTGCAGCCCTTGGCGGGCTACAGCGACGATACGAAACGGGCGGAACAGCGAGCTTGCCGCGTTGCCGGACGAATGTAAGTTTCACAAGCTCTGCTTTGACAGGCTAGAAACGAGAATGCGAAGGATTAGAGTCTGTTGCACTTTATCTCTCGCAAACAACTGGCACGGTTCAGAATCCCAAAGAAAAGTTGCCCTTCAATTTCTGACTCTCTAAGACGAAGTTCGTACGGGCGAGCGAGTCGTTACAGTCGATGCCAAGAGGATCCTTCGATTGCAGTCCATCCAACGACGGCCCATATAATCACCCTCAATCGTGCACATTCGCGCGCTCCAGCAAATCAAGCTCGCGCAATCTAGTTTCGACCAATCTGCCCCACCTCTTCCGCAGCGCAGGCTCGGGCGCTTTCCTGAGCGCCCACAGGACGAAGTCCGGTTCCGGCGCGGCCCCCGCCAGGAACGCGTGCTGGCCCAGGCTGTCGGCCTCGAACAGCAGCGCGGCCGCGAGGTCAACCGCGGCCGCCTCTTGCAACGCGCCCCGCGTGACCGCCTGCCAGGGTTTGGGGTTTTCGATTCAATTAAGGCGGTGGAAAGTGGGGTGTTGAGGGGTCTCGCTTCGAACTTGCAAAAGCAAGTTCGAGCGTTGGGGACGCAAGTTGGAATGGACAGCGTAATGCAAATGCGCCGAGCCAATGCAGAAAGGAGTCTGGCGTCCAGACCTGAAAGGTCTCGTCAGCAGCGACTGGACGAAAGAACTGATAGACCTCCCCGGGCCACGAGAAAGGGAAGCAGCGCAAGTCTGGCGAGAGGACTGCGCGGTTCGATTCGATGTAGGCCCGACGGGAAGACAAACCCGCTTTGTCCGCTTCTATCAAGAAACCTGATCATGCATTTCGTGGTCAAGGGCGCACCTGTTGCTTTGGGCTGCCGTGGGATGCGATCGGAGCCGTTGACGGGTCCAGCCGCTCGAGAAGGAAGACGTCGACCAGGAAGGTGTCCAACGAGTGCGGGCTGTAACGACGACACGCAAAACTTGGTACAAGTCTTCAAGGAGGACCCCACAAAAGGCCAACAATGCAAAAGAGGTTTGTCTGCAAGGCGTTCTGCGCAAGCAACCTAACATCCTTGCACGTGCGCTTTGGTGCTTTGTGAAACTGTGAGGCGATGCGGCAGGGATGTACGCGCCAGCGGCTGCTAATGACTCCACCTTTCTGACGGCTTAACCGTCGAGCAAGCCACGCAACAGATAGGCCTGAAGCTTACTGTGACTTCATCCCCAAGATCACGCCAAACGGGCCTAACTACGTCTCAGCTTCAAGCACTTAGGGCGCAAATTGCGCACCGTAAACCACGACCAATAACCATAAGTGCCTACCTGGCGACGTTCATGAGGTTGAGCCGCGAGGGGATCCCCTCGCTGTTGCTCAGCACCCGCTGCACACAGTCCACAATCCGCAGCACGTTCCCGCCCGCGCGCGCTTGCCCCAGCCGCCGCAGCAGCCACTCCCATCGCAATACGACAGCCGGGTCCGGTTCATAACTCCTCTCCACACTAGCTCTTTCGACCCGTCTGCGGTTGGCCCCCCGGGTGACGTCGTCCCGAGGAAGCGGCCCGCTTATTCTCCTCCGGTCCTGCTGTGACGTCAGCATGACGTCGTCTTCCCGGAGTTGCGAGGGGTCTGTGGAAGCCCTCGGTCGAGTGGACGGTTTTGCGGTTGTCTGGCGGAAGCTTGAAGAGTGTGAGAGTTTGGGAGAAGGGGGAGGAGGCGCGATGTCGATGCGCTTGGTTGCTTGGGCCAGCCAGAGGCGAAAACTGCCGGCCAAGAATCTGAACAGGACGTCGCTCTGCAAAAGCCGCAAAAATGCGCCTCGATGAGTCTTTGCTGTCAAGCACTTTCGTTTTTCCCTTTCCCTGTTTACGCAGAGGTTTGACTTCACGGCAAATCACGTCGAGGAACAGACTGGCAGTACAAGCAGACCCGAAGCTCCTGCAAACTGGACATTTGCGAGAGACTTTCATCTTGCTGAGAATGACGGGTGCCGCATCGACGCAGCGGCGGGACACTCGGTCGAGAGTCCTCTTCCAAAGCGGGGAGAATGGGTGAAAGAAAAGGAATCGTCGTGGAGTTGGCGTTTGAAACCGTTTCGAGTTTCGCAAAGACGTCGAAAGTGCTGTCTCCAAGGCAGCCCCACCTCGAAGAAGAGCCGTTTCATGAGCGCGCTCGTTTCTGCTGCGACCGCCAACTCTTCCAGCGCGAGCATGGGGCCATCGTCCCAGCGGCTCGCCTTCGCCAGGATGCACTCCTGCAACGGAAACGGAACCAGCGAACGGAACAGAAAATGGAACACGGAACGGAGCGAGGGAACGGAGTGAACAAGGACCCAAAGAAAGAAGGGAACGAAACGGCAAAAGGAATGAGGGGAACGGAACGCAAACGGAAATTAACGGAACTGGTGGCGTGGGATTCAGACGGTCGAGCAGACCCTCTCGTAAGCAAAACGTTGTGGAGCGTTTCCTCCTTCCTTTCCTTTCAAGCCAGATCGGCACGAGTGCACGCAAGATTTAATCTGCTTCGCGTCGATTGCCAAAAGAGACCATCCGTTTCCAGTGTCGACTTGGATTCAGCTCGAGCCTCATCCATTGAAATACCTTGCCAGAAGACTGTTGTGCGTTGGTGTCTTGCTCACCTGCAGTTCTCGGAAGAGGCCCCGAGTGGAGGCCTGCCCTTCTTGCAGAGTCCGCGAGGGCTTGCCCAGCACGTGCCGAGGAGAGAGCGGCGCAGGAGCCAGCTCCGCCTCTGCTTGTTGCAACGCGACCTGCCGCTGCCACGGGTCAAACAGGAACCATCAGATTGTGCCACGTAGTACGTCCACACGCACACACCAGCATTTACACGAGCTGCGTGATGTAACGTGAGTTTTTGGGAGAATTTGTGATTGGAGCCATTGGTCTACCACTGCCGTTGTGTCTGCCTTGTTTCGTAGCTGAAAGAAGTTTTGTTGGATGCAAGCCGGAAAACGTGTTGGTCAGCATCATGAGTGGGAAATGACACGAGACTCAACCAGAGTCAACTCTTGACCGAAGCAAGACTAAGGATGGCTGCCAAACCCATAAAAATGTGTTTTGAAGTCGTCACGATCACAGAGAAGCATACAGCACTCTGCTGGGCAGAACGGCATATAGTGAACGTTGATGCTTGGAGTTCCTGAGGTTCTCCTGATTGAGACCGTTAAAACACGTGCTACAGTAGCTTCGAGCCCGTTGGAAATTTGCGCGGCCCTGCTGCCGCCGCATCTTAGCATCTCACCATGTGAAAGCCGATCCATGCGTGCCAAAGGTGGAAGTATAGCTTGGACTGCTTCTCCAGAGTCACCAAGGCTAGGTCTGCAGCAGGAGCCAGGTCAGGAAAGTTAGAAAGTCCAGTCTTGCTGAGGCTTGCTGACCCTTGTACGAAAACCAAATTCATACGAGCTGATAATGCAGTTGTAAAGAGGTTGGAAACATTCAAGTACGAAGTCATCGTGTGGACTCTTCTCTTGGGCGATGATGCGCACGCGGTCTGGAAGGAGTCGGGCAGACAAGGAGTCGCTCTGGACAGCCTCGCGATTGCTTGTTTGGACCAAGGGATGCATGCAGTTACTTCGTTTCCAAGGCAAGCACAGAGAAGCAATCGCAGACGTGTTGCCACCTCACTTTCCAAGCTTGGCGGCGATCGCCCCACCGGGCTATCCAGCTCCTGCCTCCCTTCCCTAGGGCCCAGATCTTTGCTTGAGTTAGATCGCGTAGATGCAAAAAAGCTGCTCCTACGCCTCTGAGTCTCTGGGCTGAGGTTTTGGGGGCTTGATTGCATATCTGTTGACTCCTTCCCATAGGCTATGCGCGTCCGGCGGCTGCACGCCTGGATGTTGACATCCGCCAGGTAGTCTGCACCGCCATTCTCCTGCTCAATCTCCTCAATTGCGCTGAACTGGATGGTTTGTACGCGAGGGGGAGAACCGGTGCGCTCCACAACAAAGAGTGTGTCGGATGTGACAACAAAGTAGCGGTAGTCTGGCAAAGAAGGTAGAAGACAATCAGGGGCATCATCACTGTAGTTTGGACCATATCATGAGGGTACTATGATTTGCCAGACTTTGGCTTGAAGCCAATTCTAGGAAATGAGTTGCTGGAGTCAAGGCTGATGCTCGAAACATCCAGATGACCCTGCCATTCGAGAGTGAGTGACTCCGAAGTATTGCTTTGGCAAAGATGATGATGTGGTGTGAAGCAACTCGAAGCAGACCTTGTGACGTCAAGTGCATATGAGCTTCATATGCTAGTGGTGCTATATGCTAGTGGTGCTATATGCTAGTGGTGCTGTATGCTAGTGGCGCTTTGAGCAGCCTCCATCTCGATCTGCTGTCCAAGTGTGAGCCCTGAGTTTTCAGTTGTGTCCATGTCTGTTGGTATGGCAGCATTCACGTTATGTAGACTTACCTTGTGGCCTGCCATTGTTCTCCACGAGTGCAATCTCACAGTGCCGAATCTGAGCATGGGCTTCCCGGGGCAGCACACGCAACACCACATTGCCCTGGGCAACGACATACTTCTGGTGGCTGTGAGACTTCCCTCCATCTGGTATGAATTGGCTTTCATTTGCCATATCAGAAAGCAAAGCTGACCGACCAGGCAAATTCTAACCCATGGTTTTCAAAAATTGGGCCCAACACGCATATAAACTTAATGCTGAAAGCTTACATCACTGGCAGCATTCAGCAGTGACCTTGAAAAATGCTGTTTCCACGAAGGCCACCATGGATGCAAAGAGAACGTAATCTAGCTTCTAAGAAAAGCCTTGAAGCAGGCATTGCATGTCTCGGAGAAGAAGTGCCTAGAAAGAAAGGGGAGAGGGCAACAACGGGAAGGAACAGTAAGACTACTTTAAAAGAGTTGGCAGAGCGTTGAACCCATTGAACGGTGATGACTTCACAAGTTTCTGTCACAATTTTCAAATGCATGATGCATGAGTGAGTGCTTTTTAGGGTTTGCCGAACCCTATAATGGAGTCTCCTGGTTGGCGCTATCTTGCAACTGTGGCGTCGAGAGGTTCAAAATGCGCGCACAGCTCGCGAGAAAGCGAGTTTCAGGCGCCCGCACCTACGGGCTATAGGTAGCTGAGCGCTCTGCTTGCAAAGCACACTCAGCGAGTCTCAGCCACATTGTTGATCAGCATGGGCATGCAGTGGCTTGACGCATACCAACATCGTGCTGGGTGAGGCAAAGAAGGGAAGCAAGAAGGACCATCGAGGTCTGATATCCCCGTTGATCAGTAGCAACCGAGGACTGTGCCTGGAGTCCGCTGTGTTGTCAGGTGCGCCGTACAATATGGAGGTCGATTGCTCCTTCTTTGTGATGCCCAAATGCACTTTGCCTGGAGGCAGCTGCTGCATTTGGTGCCCCATTTTGTTGCCCTTCAGCATTTGACGACCTATCTCTGGATTGAGTGTGACATCTTGCTGAAGGACAGATTTGCTTTGCAAATTGCAGAACACTTGACTGGGAAGCTGATCTTGGCTTGACAGCATTGCATGGCGTGTGCAGGATGGCTGCTGCTAAGGATAGTGCAATTGCACAATTGCTGGCACTACAGGTGGGTATTTTCTGCAAGGGCTTCTAGCCTATCGTTCGTCGCTTACTGAAGAACTGTCCCCAAGGATGGTTTGCACTGCGACTCTGCTTCGATGCAAGTCTATCATGAGAGAAGGGGTCAGCCCACCCTTTTGCATACATGCCAGTTCCTGATGTGATGTTCCTACAGGCGGAGGTGAACGCTCTGGAAGCAGAGAAAGGCAAGCAGAAGCAAAAGGCTGAGCAGCTCCTATGGGACAAGAGCCAGCCGCTCTATGAGGTACGCTGTACACCACTCGACACCTTTTGGACACATGAGTAACAGAAGTTCTCGTTCTTAATTCACGGAGTTGAGTGCCACATGTCAAATCATGGACTCTTTGGTGATTGGTCATCACCAGTATGTTTCGGTCTCTAAGAGAAAGGGTGTCAAGTGACTAGAATTGCGCTGAGTACTTCTTCCATTTGCTGCAGAGGCGCCGCCAGCTTGTCACTGGCGAGAAGGAACCGTCCAAGGAAGAACTGGGATTGTTTGAGGCAAAAGTGGACGATGAGTCGGGGGGACAGGCTTCCAGTACACGAGATGCCAAGGCTTCCAAGGGAGTGCCAAACTTCTGGCTTAGGGTCTTGAAACATCAGGTATGCACAGCCAGTGCCAGTCTGTCCCTAAGTTTGTGTCATGTACACGAGACCAGGGCACTCCACCTTTTTCACAAGATGAAGTAGGACGAAAGGTGGCATGAAATCGTACTCATGTTCTGCTCCCGTCTCTTATTGTTTGATCATCCATGTCCGCACAGAAAAATTGCAAAGTGTCCTTCTCTTGATGAGGAACACCTCAGCATGTGCTGATGCGGTCCTCCGCACTTGCACAGGACACTATCGCGGAGCAGATCCGCAAAGCAGATGAAGCGGCACTGGCCTACTTGGAGGACGTTCGGATTAAGAAACCTAAGAGAGGGGCAGGGTGAGCAGCGCTTTCGTTTGACTACTCGTCACTCAAACGAATATATTCGACGCAGTGCAAATGTCCAGCATAGTGTTAGCCTGCAATGGTCAACTGCCTTCTTGGCACATGTGGCAATCTTTGTAACGGAGTAAAAGTGTCAGGTCTAGTATCAGCCTCTGATGATTGAAATATTTGGACGGAACACCTCGGGCAATAAGCAGGGTGCATGCGCAATCACAATCTCTGGAGTTTGACAGACTTGACTGCGTACTGTCATCAAAAATTTGAAACTCCTGAAGTATTTGTTTGGGGGATACTTTGATGCAGGTTTCGGGTGGAGTTCGAGTTTGCGAACAACCCGTATTTCCTGGACAAGGTCCTGTGGAAGGAGGTGTTGCTGGAGAGCGAAGACTTGCCCATCTCAACAGCCGTCCTGTCGGAGGCACCCCCCATCAAGTGGCGGAAGGACATGAATCTGACAGTGCGCCAGGTGGTGAAGAAAGCCAAGGTGAGGCGCCGCACATCAGGTTTTAGATGAGAGTCTGTGCACAAGATCGGGAATGTTCACACAGCAAATCAAGCGGCCATACTCAATCTACGAGAGTGCAGAAGGTTACGAAGGATAACTTTGCCCGTTCATAAAGGTTGGGGTCAGCCTGATGTACATGAAGGTGAACTTGGAGTGATCTCTAAGTTCTCTAATGCCTGATCCCTCCAATGGTTAGAAACGTAATTGTTCCAATATGGAACGAATTCGTAAGAAGGTTGTGCTGGTGCCTGCAGTCTGGCAAGGGGAAGGGCAAGTCGAAGGAGAGCGCCACGACTCTCAAGACGAAGCCAACCCAGTCGTTCTTTAACTTCTTCGGAAGGGGCGCTTCCAAGGGCAAGAAGCAGACGGAAGCGGAGGAAGACGAAGATGAAGACGAGGATGAGGACGGCAGCGCAGCGGCAGCTGGCGATGTGCCGCTTGCGCATGCAGACGTGATCTTGGCCTTATGGAACGACGTGAGGGTTTTTCCTGCTCTTCTTGCTCTTCTGCTTTTGTTGCTTTGGCAGTTCCAGAGCTGGTGGAAACCATCCGCCTGTTTGCAGAACCTCTTTCTGCTTTTTTTCCGCTCTTTTGCACTTGTTGTTTTGCTGTACCAGAGCTGGCGGAACCCATCCGCTTGTGTGGAGTGCTCGCATACTCTCTCCTAACTCAACAACTTTGATCAACTGAATCTGGTTTAATGACTTGCCGTAAATGTAAAATAGTCTCTCCTTTTGGTCTCAGAAAAGCTTCTGTCACATTGTCAGCTTTCCGGCGTCATCAGAAGTAAAGTTTTCGCTTTTGTTGCCGCCGATTGCCTGCGCCATCAGAAGTCTGTAATATGTTTGTTCGACGTCGATTCCAGAGGTCACGAACGATGTCTCTTGTCTGAACAGGTCGTGCCAAATGCGGTGGAGCTGTACATGAGCGAAGGTCTGTCCAGCCAGGGCATCGAGTCGGAGGGCGACGAGTACGAGATGGTGGGCGGCAGCGAGGCGGAAAGGGAGGGCCTGCCGCCTTCAGCACAACGAAGGCTCAGGTGGAGAAAGGCTCGATCTCTATCTCTTGCAGTAGAGCACGTTTCTAAAGCTGTTTGAAAAATGCGACGCTCTGGTGAACGGAGGCCGGACGGCTGTAGGGCGATTCTGAAGGGCGCTCTAACGGGGATGGGACTTTGCAGAATGCACCTTTCGGAGGATCAGGTGCGCCTAAAAACTGCAGAGGCGGAATTGGAGCATATGCCCACAGTTTGAAAGTGACAGATTCTCCAGTCAGTCCTCACCGTGCCTGTTTCTCTTATCTTCGCACTTCGCTTTCACAGCTAAACGTTCTAAGACCGTCGTCGTCACTTGTCATTACAGGGCCTTGCAGTTCCTCCACCAGCAACGAGTCGCCCTTAAGCAGGCGCGTGACAGATTGTCGAGTCACTCCTCGCATGCCTCTTTCACTATCTTCACCTGACGCTCTCGCTGTCACGGCCGAAGGTCTCACGAGAGCGTTGTCGGGTTTTCTACAGGGCCCTGCAGTTCCTGCACCAGCAGCGAGTCGCCCTCAAGCAGGCGCGCGACGCAGATCTCCGCAAGATCGAGGACGACCTCTTCGCGTGTGCCGAGGGTCTTTTGGACCGGCGCCGCTTTGTCGTGGTCGGCAAGGAGCGCTCCACGGAACGACAAGCGCTAGCGGTTGCGGATGACGCAAAAAAGGGCGGGTCGGCGCGGTTTGTCGAGAATATGGTGGTCCCGCGGTTCTGGTTGCTGGCGCTCAAGGGCTGTCCGGTGACGGTGGAGCTGATCCGGCGGGCGGACGAGCGGATTCTGGCGTACCTGGCGGATGGTGAGCGGAAAAGGGCCGCGAGGTCCTGCTGCGAGGCCGTGCCACAAGGTTCAAAAACGGCTTAAGCGAGAATTTGGTGCGAGATCTTTTCTGGATGTTCCGTGTGAGACTGTTTCCAGCGACGTCGATTTTAGAGCCGCTCGACATTCTCAGAGGCGAAGCAACGGCTGAGGATTCCTGAATGATCCTGTGGAAAACCAGATTCAAACCAGAAGCAATGGCACACCAAAATCCGCATGGGGATTACTACTCCTTCCTCGCCCCCGATCTCTTCTCTCTTACGACGTCGATCCGTTGGTGCAGTCCGAGCGGCCCGGCTACCGAAGGGCCTCCGAATCGACTTTGAGTTCCTGCCAAACCCTTTCATCGAGAACGAGGTCCTCAGTCGGACGTACACACTGACGGACGACACACAGGCAAGACATCCGGCTCGCTCTAGTTCCTGTCGCGCATGCGCGCTCAGAATAACTTGCCAGCAAGCAACCGACAATCGCAAACATTCTTCTACTTCACGAAAAACGGATCCGAAATAGATTGTGGCTTCGATGATCGAAATCGCAAGAATGCTTTCCCTCTGTAGTGCTTTAGATGCTGCGACGCCACTGCGTCCCGGCGCACAAAAGCGACCGGCGGCGGATGGTGTTGACGCGTGGCACTTTCGCTGGGAATCCAGGTGGTAGTGGAGACCGAAGCAACGCCGGTCAAGTGGCGGGAAGGCGTATACGACATCACCGCCAAGAAAGGTGGGACTAAACGAGTCTACTGCATAGTCGCAAAATCTCCAATTAGATATGCTGCCTGTCTTGCCAAGTCAGGGAGCATGGATTCGCCTGCAAGAGGGAGGGGAACGCTGACACACGAAGAATTTTTCGACATGACGATCTCTGGTCGGCTCTCGTCGCAGGTAAAGGGGGATCTTCCAGGAGCGGGTCCACAGCAAGGTGGGTCGAGATGGGCAGAAGGATGCCCTTTTCAACGTTGAGCTGGCCTCTCTTTTTCGCGGCTTTTGTCGTTCGACTCCGTTGCCTTTTGGATGCATGAAAGTTTTGTTCAGGATAATGAGACCGAAGCACCGAGCTTGGAAGCCGCCTCTTTGCAGTCAGGCTTCACGATCCATAAGTCGTAACAGCATCGATTATATTTGCAGTTTCTTCTCGCTGTTCACGAAAGATGGCGCCCAGCGCGTGTTTGCGGGCGACAGCCGGACGCCTCTGACGGGGACGGAACTACGGTAAGCCTGGTCACATTGGCGTTGAGTGCTGCACAGACTTTTTGGTTTCCCAGGATTTGCTGGGGACCATCTCGTGCGTTTCAATGACTTTCCGTGCACGTTGACCGTGAGGGCAAAACCCTGAAAGTGACTTCTCGAAGAGCTGGTATGCTTCAGTGTAGATTGTAGTTTGCTAACCGACATGGCGGAGTCACGCCCTCAGAACGCTGTACTAAGGCGCTTGTCTTAGTTTGCCAACGACGAGGATTGTTGTGCTTGAGAAGTTCTTCTCTACTGAAGCGGTGCTCTGACTTGTGTCCGGTGCTCTTTGACAGGGACCGAGAAACCGCCCTGGCTTTCACCCTGCGCGACGTGGTCATCCCCCGGGCGGTGAACCTGTACCAAGTGGCAGCAGCGTGGGGCCAGGAGGAGGACCCCGGGTGAGAGCCCGTCTCAATGACAGGGGAAATCAGAGGCCGTTCAGTCTCTCACTTGAACAGTGGTTTTGGTTTGAGGAAAGTAGGGGCGGAGGTGATTTTCATTTGAAGGGGGTTCTTAGGTTTGCAGGAGATGCTGCTGACGAAAGAAAGTGCTCTCTGTATTCGTGTACGGATAAGGGTCGTCGAATGGATGGATTTTTATCGGTCTTCACGGATTGACGCATACTGATTCTGCGGTCTGTTGCTTCAACGCAGCGCTTCGGAAGAGGACGAAGAAACGGACTCGGATGGCGACCTCGACAGGTGAGGCCACAAAAAGAGAGCATGCAATGGCGCAAATGCATCTTCAAGACTCGCTAGCCTGCGAAACCCTTTTGCTTGGGAGTATCCCCATGGTTGTGGTCTGGATTCACACTCGTGTAGGCGAATGGAGACGGGGGATTGCTCAGGCACGCATCCTTAGTTTTGCAGCCTGAGATGCCCGTCGTTTGATGGTGGTGTGCGCACAAGCAGCGAGCAGAGCTAGCGGAACCTGGACTGGTTTTACTGGTGTAACCGCTGTGTACCCCACCTTATCTCAACATCTTCAACGTAAAGGGCCCATAGCCACCCCTCTCAGGAGGTGGCTCCCCAACGAATGTAATTCTTGGAGTGGCCTATGCCTGTTTGGTTTTACAAACCTGTTGACAGCCGTGGTTCTCACTTTCAGCGACGAGATCCGGCGACGAGTGAAAGGGAAAACGGGCCGTGGGCGCCGACGGGGGGCGGGCGATGTCGACGACTGGACCTGCTGCGGACTGAGCAGGACGCAAATGCTCGTCCTGCTGAGCTTGCTCATAGCGCTGCCCCAGGTAAAGCTGATGAGTCGAGGCCTGTTGCTGCACTGTTCTGAGCTCTTGTGACACTCTGGCTTCTGTCTAGTCTGGCTCGGTCAATTGGCGCAATGTCGGAGGGCTCTTCGACCTCTCCCTGCAAGTCCTTGAACACCAGCCTAGGCACGGATTTCTAAGATGCTTGCAGCGGGGGTGCCAAATGCCAACAGTTTACTCGATCGCCGGCCTGTCGCTCGAGTCTGTTTTTTCCACATCGACCACCTTTGAATTGGGCTAACGGCTGATGTCTCCCGTATGTGTCCCGTTCCTGCAGGTATTGTATCTCGTTGATATGCTTCTTGCGAGAAGGTATTGAGCCAGAGGAAGCCGTTGTCACTTTGTGAGGCCGATACGGCGTCCTTGCTGTGTATATATGAGCTGAGGAGAAAACAATGTGTACATTCGTTGATACGTCGATTGAGCACCGCTCGTAAACGCAGTCGAACCAGGTTGTCACCAGCTGAAAGCCCTTGGATAGGTTTGTTGACGTCTTACGACAGCACTGGTCGTGAGCAACGAGGTACTTCACTGTTGAATCACCGTCGTTCTGATATGGGTCTTTCAATTCACGCTTTGTACCGTGCCGGGTCAATCATTGAAAAATGGGAACTCGAGACAACACAGACTCTTAATTGTAGGCCGTCAAATCTGGAAGAAAAGCGAGCTCGCATGTTCGATCATAGCATTCAATGGATTGTTGCATGCGGGCCGCCGGCATGAGTCCGATTATTGTTGAACTGCTTGCGGTTTCATAATCTGTAGCCTTCTTATCAATACAAACGTGACGCATTTACACAAGCTACCTATGGTGGGTCTCGACGGTATCGACCGCGCGACGGTCCGGTCTCAAAGTTCTTACACCGGTGTTACGCGCCGCGACGAATTGTGTACGCAGCACTGACGACCGTACTCGGCAGTACTTGAGAATCAGGTCTGAGTTCATGAATTGAACTTGTTCTGACACGTCGATCAACGGTTATGCGTACTATACGGAGGTACGGTACCGCTCGAGTCTGCGCGTACATCTATTATGAAATTTATGGTCTTGGTCGGAACTTCCGACTTGAACCACGCAGGAGTACCGCGGTACCCAGACTGAAAGGAGAGTGCAGGAATTTGATAGA